TGGTTGACAAAGGCAACCAGTGCACCCCCCCTTTTTTTTGAGACACAGTCTTGCTCTGTTGCCAGGGCTAAAGTACCGTGGCATCAGCCTAGCTCACAGCAACCTCAAACTATCCTGCCTCAGCCTCCCGAGTAGCTGGGACTACAGGCATGCACCACCATGCCCGGCTAATTTTTTCTATTTTTAGTAGAGATGGGGTCTCGCTCTTGTTCAGGCTGGTCTTAAACTCCTGACCTCAAGCGATCCTCCCGCCTTGGCCTCCCAGAGTGCTAGGGTTACAGGCGTGAGTCACCATGCCTGGCCAGTGCCCCCTTTTTGACAAAAACAATCCCTCATCAAAATCATTCTCTGTGATATTTTTTTTCTTGATGACTATGACGACTATCTTTCCAAAATAGAGAAACTACAGAATGTAATAATGAATTTTGAAACAACGGGCCAACTCTGTCACTGAAAGTTATCCTCGCCTCATCTCCCTACCAGAGCCAAGCAAAGGCTAAGTTCAACACTGCAGGGAGGGGAGCCCACGGTGCTAACAAAACTCATCCACTTCACAGGCAGCAGCACATCAACAGTATAGGGCCTCAGGGCTTTGCGCTCTCAAGGGAAAAACCTTTCCTACATTTTAAAGCTTATGTTTAGTGGAGAATTCTGGTCTGCTTGATCCTCTGCTCATCAGAGCTAAGATCAGGAGGGATGAGGCACCAGTGTTAAAGGCTACTGGAGTTCTCCTTGGGTCTCAGTAAGCACAAGGACCTGCAAAGCCTCACTCTTTCTCTGATGCCTATCCCTGGCAGCAGGTCTTCTTCAGGGACAGAGCGTCTGGCTCATCTTGTTTGCTCTCATACTGGAAGTGAGGCCTGGTCTTCCAAACACCAACATGAAACACAATGCAACCACCTACATACTCCAAGAGAGGTCCTACACAGCTTGCAAGAAGAGAGCTAGTTATGAATGAATAAAAGTATGTTTACGAATTGCAGTTAAATGTCCTGCACTTACTTTCTACTGGGGAAAAGCACTTTATCTGGAAAAAGAAAAGGAACAGGCAGGCAACAGGCAAAACTGAAATACCTCACAGGTTTTATAGTGAAACAGTATAATTGTAATTAATTATATGTAATTTACATTTGTTTAACTCTCCTCCAAATGCTTCTTTAAAAGATGTTAACACGCATGCAGCAAAAAGTATGTGGACCGTGTGCTCAGAAAGATCTGGGTTCAAAACCAGGATACATAAGCTGTGCCCATGGGCAGTCAGTCTCCTCATCTGTTAAAAAAAAAAAAAAAAAAGGATGTGCCTCCCTGCTCAAGAGATCTACACTCACCTTTAATGTCTGGCACAGAATCAATACCTGAGGGTTAGTTACTATTATAGGCGATCCTCACAACAGCCAACAAGTGGGCCAGGTGCTACTGCCTCAGTTCACAGATGAAGAACTACTAGAATATTAAGGGACTTGTCCAAAGTCACATGACTCAGAGCACACTGAAGCCTCTTCATGCCTAGTCCTGTCCATGACAGATCCCTGCCTACATGAGATAAAACTGAAGCCAGACTGGCACATGTGCAACTTATCTGTACATGAAAAGAGATCACCATTTTCTAATTAACTGAGTGAAATTTACTTTGGAGTATATTTATAGGAATAGGTAAATTTTAGGGAGAAACTGATGGTGAAAAAGTTGTCTCCAATGAAAACTAGGATGACCTCATTTCCACATTAGTCACAGATCACAGGGCAAACAAGTGCTTTAAAAGCCTCAAACAAATGGGGATACAGAGATGAATACTGAGGAAACTAACAGAAAAGGGGGTAGGGAGCAGCACAGATTTAAAGCTAACAACCCGTGTCTACAAGCAACAAAGTAACTAATGTCTAATAAACATGCCTCTTGGGCACCACTGTTATACTGTACAGCTTCACAGGTAGCTTTCCTCTCACCATCCGCAAAACTGAAATCAAACCTCACAGGGGAAGTAACAAGACAAGCAAATGAAACTAAGACCAAGCCTAGGACCCAGCTATAAAATAAGGAAGTACAGAAGCCAAACTAAAAAAAAAATCATGTAAGCAGAGGGGGGAGGTTACAGCAGTGGCATGGCGGCCGGGTATAAGACTTCCAATCCTCGTCTTCCCCACTGTCACTGTCTCTATCACTGCTGCCACTGCCACCACTGGGGTTGCTGGGACTCTCTAGTCTGCCTGTGTTAGCTGTAAGCTCACCACCTGTCAACCCTCTGCTCCACCGGCCCTCCCTCCTTTCGCTGCTGCCACTGCCAGCCCAGGGTCAAGCCGGCAGAATAATACCCTCCCACCCCACCCATCAGCCTGCAGGCCAGGACCATGGAGGATATGAAGCTGGAATTCCCTTCCCTTCCACAGTGCAAAGAAGACACTGAGGAGTGGACCTATACTATGGAAGGAAAGATGCAGGAAATTTTACATGGATTGTTCTTAGGCCCATATTCTTCTGCTATGAAAAGCAAGCTATCTATACTACAGATATATGGAATAACCCATATAATATGCATACGACAAAATATTGAAGCAAACTTTATTAAACCAAATTTTCAAAAATTATTTAGATATTTAGTCTTGGATACTGCAGATAATCCAGTTGAAAAGATGTTTGCTCCCTATGACTAAAGAATTCAATGATGAGAGTTTACAAACTGGAGAAAAAGTTGTTGTGCATGGAAATGCAGGATCTCCAGAAGTGCTGCATTTGTTACTGCATACGTTATGGGAATATTTGGAATGAAGTGCAGAGAAGCATCTGCTTATGTTCGAGAAAGAAGATTTTGTATTAATCCTAATACTGGATTTTTCCATCAACTTCAGGAATATGAAGCCATCTACCCAGCAAAATTAATAATACAGATGATGTCACCACTCCAGATAGAAAGGTCATTATCTGTTCATTCTGCAACCACAGGCAGTTTGAAGAGAACACATGAAGATGATGATGATTTTGGAAATATGCAAATGGCGACTGCACAGAATGGCTGACTGAAGAGAAAAATTATAGAGTGTGAATTTCTATTTGGGAAGGAGAAAATACTAGACACAATAATAATGTAAAACGGTAAAAACAAGTAGTTTCTTTTCAATTATAGGTTGCTTCCAGACATGTTTCTATGCAACTTGTTAAGCAACACTGTAAGATGCTGGACTTCTCCAATACATGGCACTGATGGTTTTACTCCTTTTTCTTTTTTTAAAAAAACACTTTACAAGTTTTATTATAAACTAAGAATTTTGGACTTGCAAAGAAAAAAAATCATATAAGCAGTAACAATAGTTTTAAATCAATCCAAACTGTCATCGGTCAGTTAAAAAAAAAAAACAACATGAAGATCAAGCAGGGCGTAGGGGTTGAAGAACATGGCTCTGCATTGGGATCATGGTTCAGATCCCAATTCTGTTCTTGTCTGTTTAACCCTGAATCTGTTATTCAACTTCTCTAAGCCTATTTCCTCATCTATAAAACAGCGTTAATAACCATACCTACCTAATGGAAGTACACTGAGAATTAAATGAAGGAGTCTTTTAAAAGCACTTACATGACACACTGGCATACAGGTGGTCAATTAAGTGACTAGTTACTACTAGAGAAGGAAAGGGTTCTGATGCTCTATCCCATGAACAAGACAAGAATTTAAGCACTACAGGTGGAGCATCCATAACCCAAAAATCCAAAATCCAAAAACTTTTTGAGCACCAACATGATGCCACAAACAAAAAATTCCATACATGACCTCGTGTACACAAAGTTTGTTTCATGCACGAAATTATAAAATTACTTGCAGCCTTTGTGTATAAAGAGTATATGAAACATAAATAAATTTCGTGTTTAGACTTGGGTCCCATCCCCAAGATATCTCACTATGTATATGCAAATATTCCAAAATCCATATTCCTGACTCCATCTCTTATATGCAGTAGATCGAGTTTTAATAACCCTGACATGTTCCTTACCACGTCAGGACTCAGGGACAGTAAGTAGAACTCTCAAAAGATTTAAGACAAAAGTCTTTCAAGGAAGTATAAACTGGTAACACCTTTATGAAAAATAATTACCAAAAGTCTAAAGTTCACACCCTTTGATCTAGTAATTCCACTTGTAGGAATCACTGAGGAAATAAACTGAGATAAGATTTATGTTAAAGGATACTCAACCTACCCATGACACATAATAGAAAAATCAGAAACAGCCTAACTGTCCAAAAATTGTGATGAGATTAAGTAACTCCAACAAATCCACAGAAAGAAAGAGTATACAGCCATTCAAAATAAGTATTTCCACGTTACCGAATGACACTGAAGAATATCCACAATATAAAGTTAAATGAAGGTAGAATACATACAAATAGGTGACACAAAATATACACAAAAAGGTGACAGAAACAAAAAAAAATATCCAAATAGTGACTTTCTCCAAATAATGGACTTACAGGCATTTTTAAATTTTCTTCTTTCTAGTTTTCTAAATATTATACAACTAGCATATCTAGAAAGAGACCGTGTTTTTGTTCTTGTTTTAAATCACTACCTCTCTGCCAAACTGTTAAATAGCAGTTCAATAAACTGTGGCTGAAATGGCATTTTCCTGACTTTGGTCTTGTGCTTGTTGGAAATAAGAAATGCCACTGAAGAACTAATATAAAACCAGAACTATAGTACAGTAATCGTCCTCAAATAAAATGTAAAATCTGGATGCACAGGTGTACAGACTGAGAACCAGGGTTGGGCTGCAGGCCTCACAATGCAGTCTCTTTACAGTGTAACATGGTGGACTCACAGGCCAAAGCACACTCTTTTTAAGCACAGTTCCTTTTTGAAGCAGAAGCAAGGCAGGGCTGAGAGGAAGAAGTAGGGTGGCCCTAAAATAGATCCTGAAGCTCTCTGTGTGGCTTTGCAGTCAGATACAGGCCTGCACATTCCAGAAGGACCTGCAGGCATTCCTAGAAAAGTGGTCTAACGGATTTCTCTTACCTGAGCACAACTGTTCGATCTTTGTCAAATTCAACTGCAGAGACTCATTGATCCAGGCCAGCATATCATGTCGACTTAAGTTATCACTGGTGACTGACGTCGAGTATACATTCACTGCCATCTTCTACAGCACGCGAGGAAGAGAGAAGGGCTAAAATTAGAGTAGGCATGCAAGTGAGAGCAAGTGTTTCCTCGACAGTCACCTAGAGCAAACCTGTGGAAACATTCAATTTTTAAGCCTCACCTTCTTCCCAGAGAGGCCAAACCAGAGACACTAGGATTCCAACCATAAGCCTGGATTTCCACATATAAACATGAGTCAGTCTAAAACTTAGGCCCTATTTTAATGTGATTGATATAAAATTTTAAACTACAAAAAGCCCTAAGTAAAGGGATGAGTAAGTGCTTTATGAAGGGAGGTGAATGCATAAACAAGAACATTCTGTTTAGAAAACCCATCAGTCCAAGTTTATCCATCAAGATATCAAAATGTTCACAGCAGTCTTCTTCAAATGGCAGGCTTTTATTAATTCCTCTTTATAGTTTTCACTATTCCCCAAATGTTCTTTAAAGACTATATCTACTTTCATAATTGAAAAGTAAATAAGCTTTTAAGAACCTAGGCACTACAAAAGCAATGTCAAATGATTACCTTACAAGTGAAGAGTCCTTGGTAGTTAATTTCTGCAGAGCCACCTGGAGACAGGAAGGCATCTGAGGGCCTACTAAGTGTACGTGCTTCACATACACTTGTCATTTAATCCTGACAACCCACTGCAAGGTTCATCTCATTTCCCTCACATTGCAAGTGAGAAAAGAGAGGTCCTGGAGACTGACAGCCAAGCTCACCCAGCCCAATCATCTGCACTCTCTCTCCTGACCTTTCTGCTAGGCTTTTAAATTCAAAACAATAAACAGCAACAAATCTAATGTAAAATGCTAGCAAATATGGGTGCCATGGTCAATGAGCACCAGTTCAGTCATCCCTCACTCATTCAACAAATGTTTACCAAGCTCTGTGACATGTTGGGCACTATTCTAGGGATCGGGAAATAGATAAGCAAGAGACAAGGTGTCCATTTACAGGGAGTTCACATTCTAGTAGTGGCAAGTCTGACCAAATACACTAACAAACATTTCATACCAACCACTCAGGCAATGGGGTTTAGGGAATGTGGTCCGAGAAAGCCTCTCTGAAATGACAGCTGAGCTTAAGAATCAGAAAGAAGCAGCCACATGGAGATCTAGAAGAAGGGTGCTGCGGCCCAGTGAGGAAGAGGGGAGAGCAGGAACAGGAATAGAAGTCAAGAGACCAGATCATACTAAGGCTTTGAAGACCAGGGGAAGGAGTCTGGATTTTATCCTAATTGTTAAGGAATCTACTGTCAGGTTTTAAGTAGGATAGAATCTCCCTCTCATTAAAGTCTGAAGAAGATCATCCTGACTGCTGGTGGAGAACAGATAATAGGGAGGGAAGACTTAAGCAATATGAGATAAAGGCAGGCTAATACAGACCTAAATGAATTCCCTGGGCAGTCACCACAAGGACACACTATACAACACTAGATTTCACAGTGATCTTGGCACTTTTTCTTCATTTCATAGACAGCAGCATTACCAATGGGGTTGGGGGGGGTTAGAGAGATACAGAGCAATCTAGAACAACCATGAGATCCCAGCCTTTTGCACTCTTGTGGCACTTCATTCCCTCCACCTAGTAACTATGTATGAGTTGGTCTTTCCACATCCATCTCCTGTGCTAAGCTGCTACAAGCATCATGAGTCACACAGCTACAGGAGGTGAGAGGCAGAAAAGACAGAGATCCTCTTTTTATGAGCAGGGGTGACTGAGGTCTATAAAGGTAAATGACTTACCAGGTCTGTGTCCCCTCAAATTCCTCATGGCACCTGACAAAGTAACTTGCACATAATGAGCACTTAGTAAAATGTTACTTGTTTTCAGGTTGGCAGGACAGTGTCAAAGACAGAAAAATATAACCATATAAACTTTTTTCAGAAAGCAAACCGTCAACACTCCTACATTCCCAAAATAAGCTGATAAAACCATGTTACCCAAGACACTTACACAATTTAGTTTCTGACTCCTCTGGGAAATTAATCCCTGTTCCCAGGGTACTTCATTCAAATCTCTGTGACAAGAATTATCACACTGGATTGTCATTAACTCTTCATTTCTCAACCATCCCCAGACCAGATCTGGACCAGGAGACAATTCACTCAAGGCAAAGAGCTAAGAATTTCAAGTCAAGAGGACCTAGGTTTGCATGTGAGGCTGTCACTCATTAGTTGTGTGACCTTGGACAAGTTACTTAATGTACCTCAGTTGTCTTACAAGTTAATACCACCTATCTGAAAAGGATCATGGAGAGGTTTAAATGAGACAAGGTACATAACACATTTGGTATGGTTTCAACACATAAGAGGTATTAAACAAACAAGGTCCAGGATAGGGACCAGGATAGGGAGGGAAGACTTAAGCAGTACGAGATAAAGGCAGGCTAATACAGATCTAAATGAATTCCCTGGGCAGTCACCACAAGGACACACTAGATTTCACAGTGATCTTGACACTTTTTCTTCATTTCATAAACAGCAACATTACCAATGGGGGTAGGAGGGCGGTAGAGAGATACAGAGCAATCTAGAACAACCATGAGATCTCAGCCTTTTGCACTCTTGTGGTACTTCATTCCCTCCTATCGCCAGTGCTAAAAACAGTGTCTGAGACCTGCCACCACCATCTCTCATCCAGATACACTGTAACAGTCTTCAAATTAGTCTGTCTCAATTTGTTCCTACACAGCAGCCAAAAGAATTTTCTGAATCACAAATCACATGGTGTCTCCCCTGTTTAAAATCCCTAAATGAATAAATAAATGAAATGCATACTCTGTGCAAAATGCTATTATTAGGTACCAAGCAGAGACATTCAAGCAAAAAACATGGTCCCAGGCTGAGCACTTGTAATCTATTATGGAGACATTCATATATATATCAGGTGTGTGTGTCATGCTACCCTAAAATGTAGCAGCTGGTAAAGCCACGCGTCTCCTGACCACACCCCAGCTCAGAAAACGTTAATGGCATTTCATCATCATATAATTTAAAACTCTATCATTAGCAGTACATTAATACCTGGTCCCACGTGCTCTGAAAACTCTGCAGCCACTAAATACATAGGATTAGACATCCTGTGGCTATGCAATAAACATCCACTGACCCAACCGATTAATTGGCTCTTCGAGACAGTCAAAACAGAGCCTTGTTCTCAGAGCTACAGCTACAGCTCACACTTCCTCCAAAAGAATTCCACTGCTTAGCCTCAATGGAAGACCCATGACTACCACAAAAACCTCACCCTTACAACGTTGCTTGACCTAGGTTTCAACAATGAAAAGGCTCCCTCTTGCCCACTCACGTTATCTCTTCCTTCAGCAGCTCTTCTAGCAGGCTCCCAAACTTATTCTAACTCAATGCTGGCTGAAGAGCACCCTATTACTTTCAAGGCACCATACTGAGCACTATGGAAAGATGGGGAGGGAGGCGCCACCAGAAAAGAGTTATGTGACCCTGAGTAAAACACTTCACCTTTCCAAATCACAAATAGCTCACCTGTAAAATGGGTAAAACACTATCTTCTGCACAAAGTGGTGGTGAGGATTAAATGAGAATCTAAGTGAAAACACTTAACTGAAAAGCACATCATGCCCTAAGGTTCCCTATGTACCAGAAACTGCTAGACCCTTTCAAACCCAATGACAAAGGGTGCACCTACATGAAACATGCTCTATAGCTCTGGACCTCAGGAAGAAAGTGTAATAAAAAGATTAAGAGCCTGTACTCTAAAGTCACAGATGTCTACAGATGCACAGCCGCTTGTTGAGCAGCAAAAGGTAGACCTCTTCACCTCTCAGACTCCTCATTTGTAAAATAAGATCTCTTAAAAACAGTGTGAATTATTAAATGACAACGCCACATCAAGCACTTAACACAATGCTTAACACACAGCATGTGGCCAATTAACAAAGAGCTGCTCTTATTATTACTAGAGACATCCCATCAGAGGAGAGCCCGGCCTGGCATAACTTCCTTCAGCGGGCCTCAGCATCCTCATTCCCAAGATGAGGCCCAGGCCAAGATCTGCCCTGCAGCCCACAAGGGCAGCTGCGAAGCGGGGACTAGAAAAGCTCTGTTGATATCACCCTGTTATGCTGTCTTCCCTAGAATTACATAAAATTGTCTCGCCCCGTATTCATTTTCTTATTTCCTGTCTGCCCACCACAATGCAGAGGTCTTTGCCCGCCTGCTCCCAGGTGTATAGCCAGCGCTTACCTACGGCGCCTAGCTCCTAGTAGGCATTCAACAAACATCCCTTGAAAAAAGGAAGGAGTCCAAGGAGCTGGCTTACTTTTTGCCACGCACCGCGCTAAGACGTTTCTGTCCGTAGTATTATCGTCCCCATTTTACAGATAAGACAGCTGAGATCCACAGCAGTTAAAGCGCCTGCTCAAGGTCGCAGGGCAGGGAATCGAACCCCGGTCTGAATCCACAACCCGATCAGCAAGCGATACCGCCTCTTACAAGGTGGGTCCCCAGAGCTCCTAACAGGGCCCACCTCGCCCACACACCCCCTTCCGAGACCCAATCACACTGGGACCTTCGGGCGCAGCAGCGTGGGCTCCACACCTCAGCCACGGCCCAGAAGCCCCACGCCGCCTAGGGGCAGCCCCCACTTCCGGCCCGAGGCCCCGCCCCCCAGGCAGAACGGAGCGCGCGCCCCCCGCCCAGCTCGCGCGCGCCGGGTCACGGCCCCGCCCTTCCCCCACCCGGCTCGAACGGCACCGCCGTGTGGAGGGGCCTGGGCGCCGCCTGCAGGGCCTACCGGGGCCTGCCCGGCTTTGGCCTGCCCAGCCTTGGACCACTCGCCGCCCCCACGGCTGCCGCCCCGTGCCCGCTGGACGGCTCACCGGCTCTCGGCGGAACCGTGTCCACTGCCCGCGCCCGGCTCCGGTTCCGTCTTCGTCTCGTTCAAACCGCCGACCCCGCCCGCCCGTCCGCGCGATGACCTCACACGCACGCGCCGGCGTAAAGGCTCGTCATCGGCCGCCGGCTCCTTTTATAGAGACTCAGCGGCGCGCCGGGGGCGGAGCCCGGCCCTTGATCGACAGCTGGAACGCCTGTGAGGCGAGACACCCACTGCCGGGGGGTGACTGCAGCACGTGGTCGGCCAGAGCCAATGAGGTCCCGCCTCGGGCCCGGCGTGACTCCGCCCAGAAGGCGGGGTCCAGCTACAAAATCTCCGTGGCAGTAGCCAAGAAGATAATTGTACGATGAATTTCTATAAGAATGAATTATTGGATGATAAAGACTCTTGGTAGGCGCCTTGGGGTAAGACTTAAAAGTCACCTCAGAGACATGTTCTGCGACCACCCTATCTGTAATGACCCTGTAATATCATCTGGCTTTTCTTAATACCTTACAAACGCACTTCATTTATTTATTTTTTTACTGTCTGTCTTTTTGCACAGTCTGCTGAAACAAGGGCCTTCTCGGTCCTGTTTCTGGTGTGTCCTAGTGCCAGTACATAGATTCTCAGTAGAGTTTCGCTGAAAGAGTGAACTGCACCACTTTAAAGCAGAGGAAACTGAGTCTCAGAGAGGCCAATTGACTTGCCTAGTGTCAGAGGTAGATCCAGATTTTGAACTGCTTTCTTTATCTAGATATCACTCATTCATGTACTGAACAAATATTTTCCCTGACCAATCAGGCCCTAGGGTCTTGGTGAACAAAAACCAGACACAGCCTCCAACCTCTTGAAGTTTCCAGTCTGGCAGGGGAGGCAAAAAGGACACAATTAATGACACAAAACCCCCTGATTTCAAGCCAGACTGAGCACTAGGCAGAACTGATACGTGGCCAGGGTGATGGCATTGCATTGTGTGGAGTAGGGGCCTAGACACCCTTCTACAGCAAGTCTCATTAAGGGCAGATGTTCAGGGAAGGATGACGGGTGGAAGCTGGGCAGGAGCTGTTTACCAACTGGTCTAGAAGCATTTCAACATTTCAAGCACCAGAACTGCTGGTTGTTTCTATGGTATATAGCGTTCCAAGAGCACATCACAAAAGACCTGACCTCACCTAGACAGTGTGAGAAGGCTTCCCAGAAGTGACAATTGCCCTGAAAGATGAGGAGTGAAACTGGCAAAAGGGTTGGAGTAGGAAAAGGCAAGCAACAGGCAACAGCAAAGAGCCCAGTAACAGATGATTACAGCAATAATGGTCATATTAGCATTACAGTGAATTGATATAAACCATACATAATCAAGTAAAGATATTGACAAGTGCTTCAGGGCAACATCTGTTACCACCATTTTGCACATGAAGACATTCAGTTTCCAAAGACTAGGTGAATTTTATAAGTAGCAATGAAATTGGTCTGGGTTCAAACTCTGGCTCTTCTAGGAGTTAAAATTAAATGACATGTGTGTGAAGTTCTCAGACCACTCTGGGCACATGGTATGTGCTCAATAAATGTTAGTGATTTCTGAGTCCTTTTGCTTAATGTCAGTTATCAAATTATGTCAAGCATAATTTTCAGCATTTTCTAGAGGCCATTTTGGTTTGGGGGCAAGGACATTAATGTAGAGAATGAGATCAATGGAGAAAGCCAAGTGAAGAAGAGCCTCTAGTGCCAGCCCAGAAAATTTGGACCTGGTTCTGTAGACACAGGGAGTCACAGGAGTTTTCTGAGCAAGGACCTCTAAAATAAAACTCATCTACCCTTCCAAGAGATAAATGCAGGGCACATAACCTGCTCAGAGTACACTGTCCTCCTCTCTGAGGAGGAAGCTAGCTAGTCAAGGTTATCTGGGTCAGATTGACCTCTGACTGCAACAGGCCAGAGGGCAAAATGAAAAAAAAAAAAAAAA